ATGTCCCCCCCCCCTTATTTTACTGTAGGGCCCCCACCCACCGCTCAGGGGTGGGGGCCAAGGAGGAGGACAATAGGTCCCCCCCATCATTTTACTTTAGGGCCCCCACCCACCGCTCAGGGGTGGGTGCCAGGGGGGGCAATATATATATTTTTTTTAAACAGTGAGCAGCCACACGATGCTCACTGTTTACTAGACATGCCCCTACTCACGGTATAGCGAGTAGCGGCAAAATTTACTAATACTAAGTAATTTTTAGTTAGTATTAGTAAATTTGGCTGAAAGACCAAGTTAGATCTTTCAGCCTTTTGGTAGATAACTCCCATGTACCGTGGGAATTAGGGAGTTATCTACTAAGCGGCTGCAGTAGAAATCCCGATTTGCCAAAGTCCCAAAATTCCAAAATGCCGAAGATCCGAAATTCTGATGTTCCGAAGTGTCGAAGTGTCGAAGTTGTCGAATTTCCAAAGTGCCGAATTGTCGAAGTCCCGAATTGTGAAAATCCTGAATTTCGGAATGCCGAGCCGAACCGAAAATTTTCCCCATGCACATGCCTAAAATTTAGCTTGTCTGTTTTTGGAGCAGTCTTCTTGCCCCTCTGTTGGACATCTTGTGATTATATGTATTTAGGATGCCCTATTATAAAGGATGAATGTAAATTTTCGACCCTTAGTGCCGGAGCGAAGGAATCACGTGTCCATTCCTCGCGGCGGTTAGCCACGCCCCCTAAAGTTGTTTTTTTAACAAGGTTTGAAGGACTTGTTTAACGTGATTGTGGGGAGACTGGAGGTCAGGAGAATAAATAAGGATATCATACAGACAGACCAAGAAAAACGAGTAAATATAATCCCTGAGTACATTGTTAATGAAATCTTGGAAAACCGCTGGAGCATTGCACAACCCGAATGGCATCACTAGATATTCATAGTGTCCACTTCTGGTATTAAATGCAGTCTTCCACTCGTGGTTTTCCTTGATTCTCACTAAAATGTAAGCACTTCTAAGATCAAGCTTAGTAAACACTTTAGCACCCTGGAGTCTGTCAAATAATTCAGCAATAAGAGTAATGGGGTAGGAGTTTTTAATGGTGATTTTGTTTAATGCCCTGTAATCGATACATGGGCGCAACTCACCATCCTTTTTAGATACAAAAAAGAATCCTGCATCAGCAGGCGAGGATGATTTTTGTATATTGCCTTTATTCATTGAATCCTTAATATATTCCTCCATTACACTACTCTCCTGAGGAGATAGAGCATAGACTGCTTCCTTAGGTGGCATAGCGCCGGGTATTAAGTTAATGGAACAGTCATATGGTCTATGAGGAGGTAGAGTATTAGACTGAGTCTTGCGGAATACTTTCTTAATGTCACGGTATTGTATAGGAATCTCAGGATTTTGAGGTGTACTAGTGGGTAATTCGATAGTGCCCACTCTTTTGGTGACATGCAATATACACCTTTCATTACACTCCTTACCCCATTCTAATATTTCCCCATTAGCCCAGTCAATGTGAGGGTTATGCTTGCTAAGCCATGGAAATCCTAATATGATAGGACAAGAAGGGGATGCAATCACCTGAACTATAATCTCTTCCTTATGTAAGGCACCAATGGAAATATTCATGGGTAAGGTTTCATGCGTTATAAATGGTTTTGAGAGTGGTCTCTCATCAATAGCTTCAACGGCTAGGGGTGATAGGCTCTCCTTGATAGTTATAGTATTATCCTTGACAAATTGGACATCAATGAAATTTCCAGCAGCCCCTGGAAATCCATCAGGGCTTTGCATGAAAAGTGCTTTTTGTCAAGAATAATCGAAATATCAATGAGAAGTCTATATTTATTCTTTTCAAAGGACGTCTCCATTAAACCATGACCTGTCTCCTTAAGGCACTTAGGTGTGGTAGTTTCTTCGGACAAATGGGACAATTGTCTCTCATATGTCCATTACTACCTGTAACGGATCACCTGGCACCCCGACTGGGTACCTCCGTTGAAGGATGCTCCTAGTGCTTCCTGAGGGTTCCAAGCACTCCAGCCAACACCATAACAACTGTAGACTCCTCCAGAGAGCAAGACAGGAACAAGCTCTTACAAGAGCTAAGTAGTGATATAGCAAGGGAGCATGACTAGCATAGCAATCCCTTGTAGCAGATTCCACTTCGTTTTGAGGGTCAAGCAGAACTGACTGTACTGGCACATACAGCCTCTTTTATTCACAATCCACAAACATAGTACTGCCCACAGGGTTTTGAAATACAACCAATCAATCCGTGCAATACACACAGACACTCCCACACAAAATCCTCCCCTCTGCATGTGATATGATTACTGAACACAATGGTTAATCTAATTATCACAGGCAGAGAATACAGTATTATAAAACATATCACAGAACCCCAAAACATGCAATAACCCCATAAAAATATATCATCAGAACCGGGGGGTCTGGGTGAACCACATATCCACAATTCACCCAGATCCGTTCAGTAGTTTGGAAGATGCAGTTTAATGCAGATTCCGCAGAACATATACAGGCTATAGGAAAAATAATTACTGTATAATGTGTCCCCTGTTGTATAGTTTAAAACTACTGAACGATGTCTTCGTGCACCAAATACTGTTGAGATGGCACCGTGTAGAAAAGTCCAAACAGTGTCTGTGCGTTAAAATGACCGCCATCCATTATTCTCACCATGTGCTTCATCCATTGTTCTCACCATGTGCCTCTGAGACATGAAATGGTGGCCACCCAGTAACTCCACAGTATGTCCACAGATGGTTCTTAAAGGGCCAGCAGCAGCATAATAAAATACAATATGCCCAAATACTGTATTTAACCCCTTAAGGACACATGACATGTGTGACATGTCATGATTCCCTTTTATTCCAGAAGTTTGGTCCTTAAGGGGTTAAAGGCCAAATCTCCCAGGTCCATAGTCAGCAGGCAGGAGGCGGGCAAACAGGCTTCTCCAATGCCCAGTGGCGAGGATGGTTTCGCCACACTACCGTAGTATAAACATAAACCTTCATTTCTCCAATAATGTTTCATGGCCTCTGACAGTCTAGTGACCCCCAACTGCATGGGTTCAGGTTCGGACTGTATAGGAAGGTCAGGAACAACAGGTTCGAAGAGACGGGGTGTTAAAGGCATAGTCATACGTCTGGTCTTATTTCTAGTATTCTCTCTGGTTCTTAGTCTATTATCAATTTGCATAACAAATGTGATGAACTCTTTAAGTTTCTTGGGTAGATCTTTAGCAGCAATCTCATCTAGCATAGTGTCAGATAGTCACTTTTTAAATGCAGAGATTAGCCCACTGCTAGTCCAGTCTACCTTGGAGGCCAGGGTACGAAATTCTATGTCATAATCCGAGATAGACCAGTTCCCTTGTCTGATGTGCATCAAAGCAGTGGAGGCGTCGTCCTCCCTGTCTAAAGGTTCAAACGTAAGTTTAAATTCCATAAGAAACTCCTGGTAATTGTGTGCCACACTCCTATTGCTCTCCCATAATGGATTGGCAAAAGCTAAAGCTTTACCTTTTAACTGATTCATGAGGTAACCAATTTTAGCTCTGTCTGTGGGAAAAGATCCTGGTGAGGCCTCAAAATGATGCTCCATTTGGTTAAGGAATCCCCTGCAATCTTGAATATTACCATCAAAATGCAGGGGAGGAGATAGGGAGATAGTAGGTGCCTTGTGTACTATAGGTGGAGGTACATAAGGTGGAGGTGAGGCCGCAGGTTGCAGATGCTCTGTTCGAGTAAGAGGCGTACTGAAGGCCTGGGCAAATTGATCCATGCGGTGATCATTTTCCTCCAGTTTCCTTTTGCAAGCAAGCTAGTGCTTACACAATTCTGCAGTATCTATGGCCATGTCATAATATCAGGATTACAGTATGTAGAATTGTGTAACACAGAGGGCTAATAGGTAACGTATACCGGACCTTAGAATGGCCGGACTAACATACCAAAGAATAGTCAGGAATAGCCGAGGTCAAGGGATACAGAGAGAGACAGAAGGATAAGGAAAAGCCAGGAGTCAGGGATACCAGAAAACAGGGAAGTCAAAAACAATGCCAAAGTCAAATAACAAGAATTACCAGAATAAATAACGCACTCTCGGACAACCACAAGGGAAACCATGACAGGGCACTGAGCAGAATGAGAACTGGGCCTAAATACCTCTCCTCTAGATCTGATAGGCTGTAACTGGCCTTTGACCCCAAAGTCAGTTACCAGGTTCCCATTTGCATAATTGCTGCTCAGCATTATCCCTTCTGTAGATGAGGTTGCTGCTTGGCACAACTTTTCCTGTGTGGACAGTAAATGTCATTAACCACATTTTTATAAGCGGATGAATACGTGACAATAATCAGGTAAAAGTTTGTTGCGTTTATATCAACTCATTGATTGTAGTTTGAAAATCTGTTGAAGATTTTCATCATGTGAAATCGTGTTCAAATTGTGTCTATTAATATTAATTGTGTGGACAATGCATTATAGGTCATGGGGAAAACGAGTCTTGATATCTTGGTGTTTAAGGAAGGTCTAGATTTTGCACTATGATCCTCTTGTAAAGTAAATTCCAACATCTGATGGCTAAATAATACACTTATAAAACATTTCCTGGAGTTGTAAATCCATTTTCTCATCATCAGAATTATTGTGTATTGTCCTTAAAAATTGTTCCTTAGGTAGAGACTGTTTAAGCACTCTTGGATGGGAGCTAGTGGCATGTACTTTTGTGTTACAATATTCAAATTTATGATTTTTTGTGAAGATCCTTTGATCCTTTGCAGATCCTTTACTACCCTTTACTATGTACATTTTATAGATTATGTGTAACAGCCTTTATTAAGCATGGCCTATCAGCACATTGTAGATCACCCGGTCATGGCACTATGGCGTATTGATTTCCATAGTTACAATGTTGGTCGACCGCATCTTCATGGCAATGGATGCACACTATCACTCACATTCTGTGATTTTTGTTGTGTTTGGCTGTGTTATTGTCACATATATGTTGACACAGTTTAGAAAGTGCAAACTGTGTCTGCAAACTGTGTCAACATATATGTGGCAATAACACAGCCAGACACAAATCATACATCATTAAGGGAACATATTCGTGTACATATGCGAATGTGGTGTACATGATACAGTGTATAGTGTGTGACAAAGGTTGCTACATTGGAGACACTGTCCTTAAGCTGCATGTCAGAATGAATCTACACAGATACTAAATCAAGAAAATAGATATTGTACCCCTGTTGGTCATTACTTCACCCAAACTGATCACTCCATCCAAAACCTCAGTATTAAAGTTTTTAAAGGGAATTTCAAAGACTCTCATGAACGAAAGACATTTGAGATGAAAATTATCACACATTTCAACACCAGAAATTAAGGACTTAATGTAGACTCTTGCTTTCTCACACATTACCAAAACTTTATATAAACACACATCTTAATGTCTTATATAGTTCTTTTTCAGTATTCTCACTTCACCTTTGTTGGATCAATTTATATACATATATATATGCAGCTATATATTTGCATGCCCTGCTCTGCTGTTTTTTTGTGTTTTTTTAACTAGATTATTGACTCCTCTGTTTATTTACTTTTTCTGGCTATTCTCAGCAAACCTGCACCTTTCACTTTCAGGCACATCTTCTGTTATTTATAACACCCCACTCACCCTCCATCCCTCTCTTCTCTAACTTCAGTTGTCTTAAGTGTTAAACTCTATCAGATTGATCAGTATTGCTTCAGAACTGAGGAAGAGAGGAAATATCTTGAAAGCTTGTCTTCAAAATATTCTGTTAGTCCAAAAAAAAAATGTATCATTGCATACTGTGTATATATATGTATATAGCTATGTATACTCTCCATATATTAGAACTATATATTAGGACACGATTGACAACAATTGCTGTGTAATGATGAACAATATGTCATTTTATTTATTTATTTTTTGATGGAGACACTCCTGATACGCGTTGCTCTCTACAGCAGAAAATCTAGGTTCAATTAAGATGAGGAAATATGATGCATAAATAGGAAATGGTATATTATTTACTTCTATAAGATGTATTTCTGAACCTGGAGTTTTGCATGTTGTATAGCTAATTTATGTTCTGAAAAGAACGAGAAAATGATTGTATTATCAGTAGGTAATAGTTAATTAGGATGTGTTCTCATGTATCATTGCATTGTTTTAATAAAAAAAATAATTGCATTAATATTAGTTTAACAATAAAGTATAATGTGACAATTGTGTTTGTGCTATAAAATAGAAAATCTGCCTTAAATCAAGTTTTCCACCGATATATACAAGCAGTTCAACAAAAGCAGCACATAATAATTGTTCAGTGAAAAACTAGAGTCATTAAAGAGGAAGAAAAAAAGGTGATCATCTTGATAAAAAGGCTTCCCTAATTGTTGAAAATGTAGTTTCAAGTCTATTTCAAAGATCCAACCTCCTGAAAGTTAAACACAATTTAATAGTATTAAGCCTTTATTATGTCTATTGAGAAAATTGCAAGCAAGGGTTAAAGATTCACCAGACTAAAGATTTTCATTGAGTCTCTAAGAAGCAGCCAAACACCAGCTTGACATTTTGCATCCTTCACAATGAAAGACAAAGGCGTGAAGAAATTCCCATGATTCCTTTCTGCATGCCTAACTATGAGCTCAGGTGCAGCAGCATTTGCCCTGGACCGGCCTCATCAACATGAAGGGCGAACTCATCGTTTCTGCATCTTTTCTCGCCAGTGCTTGATTAATTGGCACACAAATACGCAGACTGAATACCTAATACATCTCCTGTTCCTATTCTTCCCTTACAGCCGCTTGGCTGCATTTACATACACTTTATATTCCATAATTTAAAAAAAAAAAAAAATGCAAGCACATCTCAGTAATTTGATGTAATGACGACATGTCACCAAAAAGAGGAATTAGGAAAATCTGTAGGTATTTAATTTATTCATGTTTTTTTTTATTTATTCTCCAAGTAGATATCTCTTAGAAATACATTAATATTCATGTGAATAAGAAGGGGAAATACACAACAGGGGAAGATACCAAGGATTTAAACTAAGCTAAGAATATTAAGAAATGATTTTAAATGATAGCTCAAGATGATGATGATAGAACAGATTTAAAAAAAAGAAAAAAGTATAAATGTGTATATAGCTATAAATACATATAAATATATATATACACACATTTATTGTAAAACTTTAACCAATGACATAGAATAGACTATGCACATCATATAATAATGGAATAATGTTGCTAAAGCTAAAATGCGTGCAAAAGAAAAATACTAAAACAGATTGTGTTCTAAAATCAGGTGTACTATAATGAATTCAAATTTAATCCTTTGAACTAATATGCTGCTTATATGTTTTTTGGGGGTTATTGAAATATACCAGTTGTGATTATATTTCTTAAAACTGTCACTTTTTAATTTTAATAATAATAATACAATTATTGTGCAGAGAGCAAATCTTTAACCATTTTGATGAATAGTACTACACCGGAGCAAAGTGGAAATGCAACTTGTTGGGCACCTTCTACAATAGGTAAAGGTAATTACTATTTCTTTGTTCTTTATGTCTGTCTCTTACATACTATTTTTATCCCCAAAGTCTCTATAATTTTAAAGGGTAATGCATTGCACTGTCTATATATATTACCAGTATTTAAATATTTCTTTATTCATATGCACCCCTCTTCCTATTTTGATTTTGTGGGCTTTATTTTAGATTAAGTTTTGAGAGACTTAATTATTACCTGGAACTGTTTAATCTTTTATGCTAAGTGGACAAGCCTAATTTTTCACTTCTATGTTGTCTCTGTTGACTCTTATTTCATGTGTCAAATGTATATTAATTTATTAATAAATTACATTGTAGTGGCATTGAAAGTGGTGTGTTTGCAGATAACACAAAACGAAAGAAGATGATACGGCCAGAACATGATCTATCTTCCTAAAAGGTCTGCGACTGAACACAAGGCTCTTGTTTTTTTCCAGAATGTGGAACTCAGGTGCAGCACAATAGTGGTCCCTCACAAGAAAAACCCACAAGGTACCCTGGGGGTGGAAACAGGAGTCTGATGGTGCAGTTATTATTAGAAGCAAAACAGCCAAGCATAATCATGAAAGGACGAGACAGAGAAACAGAGTTAAAGGCAGCCCGAAGTTCAGGACAGTCGGTAGAAGATTTAAACAGGGAAAAAGCCAAAATATTGGTAACCAGGAGCACACACTGAAAGCCCTATAGGTACAAGGATAGACAAGTAAACGGAGACTATGCTGCAGAACAACAGAGCAATGACTGGAGAGAGTGAGCAGAATACAAATTGCAGAAAAGTCACATGACAGGCCTCTCCTCCCTGCAGGTAGAGCTACAAATCTTTATAATTTATCCCTCATACTCAGGGCCATAAGAGCCATTTTAGACACATCATTGTCCTAACACCACCCCAGACACCACCCATTGTGCCCACTCTGCTTAGAGTGGATGAAGTGGCCCCAAACTGCAGGTCCCCCATCAGTGAAGTGGAGAGCAGAGGCTGCAGTAGGCCGGGACAAGCCAAGGAGCCAAAAGTTTCTGTCTTTCGACCTCGCAGATGCCACAGGTTCCCTGGTCAGGTAACTGAGTGTTAACCACTGTGACAAAATCTGGAAACAATGGGGGGGAAAGGGCAGGTAAGTGGAAGATGAAAATAAATAAAGATTATTGCAAATGTATGTATTTTGGGAATAATGTGCTTGGGAACAATTAGAGATAATAAACAGAATGCAAAATAAGTTTGCCATTACAAATGGATCAAAATGTAAGTTTGTTTCTCTCTTTATAAATTAATGGTAAGGTTCCAACATGTGGTTCAATTTGATTGTGGCACCTGTTTTAAAGAAGGATATTGCAGAACTAGAAAAAATGCATTGGTGAGCTACAAACGTAAGTGAAATAGAAAAAAATTGTGATGAAGAAAGGCTGGAAAAAGAGCATTTGCTTTCTTCAGAAAAAAATGTGTCTCAGAATGGATATGATAGCACTATACAAATATATACAGGGTCAGTATAAACTGCTATGTGCTAACCTGTTCAATAGCTGGAATATACAATAGACAAAAGGTCATCCATTGAAATTGGAAGAAAAGCATTTTTGCTTATAGCGGGGAAAGGGTTCTTAACAATAAAGATGTGAGCTTCTCTGCTCAAAGAGGTCATCCTATCAGATTCTGCAGAATTAAAAAAAAAAATTATTATTATTTTTTTTTTTTTGGGAAAAGCAGAGTATTCCAGGGAATAAGTAGCAAGTATATGAACATGTTGTTGATCCAAGGAGAAATCTGATTGCCAAGAGTCAATGGAATGCAGAAGGATTTTTTCCCATTTTTCCATTCTCTCACTTTCCTTTGGGTTCAATCTTTTATTTTATTTTTATTTATTATCCCTTTTTTTTTTTTACAGACAGCAGTAATTAATATTACATATCAATATTAGTCTATATATAGAGCAGTAATTTACAAAAATAACTCTTCACCAAGAAAGAACATAACTTAGCAAGAAAAAAAATGAATAGATAAATAAACATATACATTTTTAATGTGTGAATATTTATAGAGAGTGAAAATGAGGGGAAACAAAAATCCCATTTCAGAAAGAAACTTCTCTTTCTGTTTTCTTTCCTTCCCCATTGTTTCCTCTTCCTCTACTATTCATTTTCCTTCTCTTTTCCCTCTCTAAATCTTATACAACTGTCTTGTCCCTTAATTTTTCATTCTTACTTTTCCCTTTCCTTTTCCTCTCTGCACATAATCAAAAACTCTAAGCATTGATTTTTTTTTCTACTTTCCCCATTCTACCACACTCTCTCTCTACCTCCCTATTCACTTCACCTTCTTTGCTAAGAAAAAAAGCAGACAAGACTAACCTCAACATGACAAACAAAACAAACACACTCACCAACACCACCGGAGTCCTGGAGACAAATCAGTGTGGATAAAAATGTACATGTTAATCAATTTCAATAATAATTAATATGAGCTGTATACAGGGAGTGCAGAATTATTAGGCAAGTTGTA